AAGGGCTCCCTAGAGGACTATCATTTTGGCCAATGCTAAATAGAATTCTGTTATCCATTACTATATGCCGTATGTTCTTATTTACACCTAAGCAAAGTATATCTCCAATACTGCCAAGTGCATTCCCTCCCTGCCAATTTAGACTTTAAAAAAATATATCTCATGCTAACATGTACTGCAAGAGCACATCACGACTCTAGTGTCCAGTCAATAACATAATATATGTATTAAGTAAATTATAATGCTTTGTGCTCTCTGGAGGAAAAGACTGGGATTTGCTTGAATTGTTTGTCTTTTTCATATTCCTTTATATGGTAAACTTTACATATCCACTATAGGGGGCTTATTAAATGCCTTATTAAATTCAGCATATGCTTTTTTAGGGGCAATTGGGGTATTAAAATCACGAATGAGAATGACCTGGACTGATTTGAATGCACTAGCACAGGGGTGTCAAACTGCTGGCCCACGGGCCAGTTTCATCATACCGAAGCCGCGCCCACCCCATTGCCAGCAATGGCAAAATAGTCCCATCATGAGTTTGACATGTCTGCACTAGCACTTAACATTAGTTAAAGGAAACAGATATACTATTGAGATGAAAAGATTTAGTGTTGCTAAATCTGTATGAATGTTACTTAAGAAGCCATCCGACTATATCCAAGGTAAAATTCATCCTTAGCAACTGATTATGACATTGAATTGTATTACACATGACATGCCCCTCTTTTAGGGGCAATTGGGGAATTAAAATCACGAATGAGAATGACCTGGACCGATTTGAATGCACTAGCACTTAACAATAGTTAAAGGAAACAAATATACTATTGAGAAGAAAAGATTTAGTGATGCTAAATCTGTATGAATGTTATTTAAGAAGCCATTTGACTATATCCAAGGTAAAATTCATCCTTAGCAAGTGATTATGACATTGAATTGTATTACACATGACAGGTATTAAATTCGGTTGTTTTCTTTTTCTTTTTTTTTGTAATCAAGAAACAGCTATGATTTAAAAAGTGATGTATCTTGATTTTCTCTGCCTTCTCTCCATTTTTCATAAGAGACAATTGTCTAAAAACTCTGCTCATTCTTATTTATTTCTTCATTTTCCAATAAAGTAATTTATACTTAACGTTGAGGGGAAAAACATATAGGTTAACAGGATATCACCTCCATTTTCACCAATAGAGGAACATTATCCAAACTTGTCTTCCTGCTAGATAAAGAAACGATTTAAAACAAAGACAGAAGAATCTGGGTATAGGACTATAAAGATCTTCCTTTGGCTCCAGATTAAAAAGAGAAATTTCCAGAAAAACAAAAATCAAGACCTGGGAAAATTGAAGGGCATATTCATATTACATCACCTTTTACTGTGTGACAGTTGCAGGGCTGATGTATTTGTTCTAAATTTTACACAGCGATAATAGACAATAGAAGATATATTTTTATAAAACAGGAACTTCAATTAGAAAGTGCAACATCTTACTCTTAGATTACTGTATATTTGGCAGTATGTAAGAGTAAATAAATAACATATTCAACATAGACATGCAAAAGCAAGCTCTACTTTCTTTAGAAATATCCTTGATATCCTTTTCCTAGATTTCAATGACAGCATATTTAAATCTGCCCAACAAAATGTAAGTTTGATCTTAATCTTTTTGTAGACTTACATAATGGGGAAGCTAACATAAAGGCACCAGAACTAATTAGATGCTCCACAGTATTTCTTTATTCTTTTATTCTTATTTTACTCAACCATGGCTAAAAAGAAGTCCACCAAAGAAACAGATAGATTGAAAGATTACAGGTAGTCCTCAATTTAAGATCATTTGTTTAATAACTGTCTGAAATTACGATGGCCTCAGTAAGGGGCCTGTAAAGTATTTCTGGCTATTGCAAAATGTTGCACCACCACTCCATGGTCACATGATTGTGATCTGCATGCTTGGCAACCTGTTTGCACCTATAACCGATTGACAAGCACCCACAATCATATGATTGCTATTTGCTGGCAGGGAAGGTTGCAAGTTGCTGCTGCTGCTTGCAAAGGGCAGATGTCAGCCCCATGCAGGGTCGAATTCCTCCATCAGACAGCCCTTGTGCTCTCTTTTTAAGAGTGAAAGGCTTGTCTGCCAGTGGAATTCAATTCTGTGCAGAGCTTAAATCCTTTGGGGGGCAGCTCTTTCAATCTTTCCGCTTAATGAACCAGGAGATTGCCTAATAGCTACAACTCAGAGTATTACAAGTTGATTGTTTAGCAAAACAGTCACAACATACTTGTTTAACAACCACTTTGCTCAACACCTGAAATTCTGGTCCTAATTGTAGTGTACATTGAAGACTACCTGTACATGCCATCAAATTGGTGTCAACTCTTAGTGTCCCTGGTCTTTCAGGTCTTCTAATACCATAAGAGTCTGCCTTCTTTCTTGTCATCCCCTTCTCTTCCCTTTCATTTTTCTCAGCATTAAAGCCTTTTCTAGAGAGCCAGGTTGTCACATAATGTGTCTGAAATAGAATAATTTGAACCTGGTCATTTATGCCTTGAATGAATACTCTGAATTGACTTGTTTCACTATTTGTTTGTTTTCCTGGATGTTTACCTCAAGAGTCTTTTCCAAAATCAGAACTGAAAGATCAATACTGTTCCTACCCTGCTTCTTCAAAATTAAAATTTTGCTTCCATAGTCACAGGGAATATCATTGCTTGCACTATTTTGATCTTTGTAAATGCAGATGTATCATGGCATCTAAGGACATTTTCCAAGGACTTCATAGCTGCTCTATCAAGTGCTAGTTTGTGGCATGTTTCTTGGTTGTTTGTTTTTCTGTTGACGATTGATCTTAAAAGGCAGAAGTGAGCTACCATTTCAATATCTTCATTGTCAATTCTAAAGCTAGTTGTTGTACCTGTTATTTATATTTAATATTAGTTCTATTTTTTTATGGATGCCCCTCTTGCCAAAGAGACTCTGGGTATCTCCATAGCAATTTTTAAATGCCCAAATGTTGCTTGCATCATTTGCTGCCATAAGGGGTGTATGGAATGCAGCTCTACTACACTGTATTTTCTGCAGTAAGTTATATGAAGTGCAACACTGTAGAATATGACTTTTGCTGTTGTAAAGGATTTATAGAATAGCTCTGCAGAAGGTGGTTTTAAAAAAACAAAAACAAAAAAAGCTTTGTAATAAACACTAATGCATTTTCAACATATGCAAACCTGGGGTATAGGTGTCATTAAATTGAGTCACCAGTGATTTCAATGAGTATTCCCACAGATGTAAAATCTGAGTTCACTTCCCTCTGTCCAGGACATGGCCTATAAGTGCTGCTTGATCATAGTCTGCACACATCCTCTCCATGACTGGTTTTCTTTCTTGGAGGAGGCTTAATGGTATCTAAAGCAGAACAACTAGATTCTGTTGTAACATATACCCTGTTTTCCCCAAAATAAGACCGTCTTATATTTTTTTTGCCTCCAAAAGAGACACCAGGTCTTATTTTGGGGGGATGTCTTACCCGCTTACCTTAGGACTGCTGCATCCAGGCCTCCCGTGCCCCAACACCTGTCGTGCTGCTGCCTGAGATCTTCTGTGACCGTTTGCAGCCATACACCACATGGCACATTGTGCTAGTGCCATCGCTCATGGCAGGAGACTGCGTGGCTCATTGTGCCAGTGCTGCCACTCACGGCAGGAGGCCCTGTGGCGCATCACAAGCATTGGCACCGGTGTGACAGGCCACGCAGCATCCTGCTAGGGCTTATGTTTGGGATGAGTCTTATTTTCAGGGAAACACAGTATCAACCTTGTTAACTCTTAAGATTCTTTTTTCTGTTATGTATTCAAAATGGACTGTATGGATACCCAATGGGCATGTCTGTGTGTGTGTGTGTGTGTGTATTCTTTCGAGAGTGGGCATCAGAATTTCATTTTTAATGTGTGCCACTGTTCTTATATTCATAAAGTCCTGAAAACAGAGCATGCTTAGAGTACTGTATTTTCTGGGCAATTTCAAAGCTGATGAGTCATCATTTAAGAGCTCCTATTGCTTGTGTTTGCCAGGGTCAACTGATGTCAAGAGGTTAGGGAGAGTATTAAGACAACTTATATGGGCATACAAATGGATCTGTCAAGAATCATAATAATAGGGGAGTAGTTGATTATTGCAAGTATCTGCAGTCAGTGCTTACTCCATTTGACAAGCAGCATGTCTTGGGAGAACAACAGCAGAAAAAATAACTCATCACTTGTTTTAGGTGGAAGAAAAAAAATGGAAGGAAAACTTGAATAACTGTAGAAAAAGAGGTAGCCTCATATAAATGTTGAATAGATACTTGAGTGTTGGAGTAACTAATCCATAAGTAATCTAGATTCTGATATATAAATACCACAAAGAAAATCTCTATAATCCCTCTTTGAAAAATAAATCTGTTTGCTTTGGAAATCTCTTTTATAGGATTTTAATTTATAATTTCATTTCTATGTCTTCCACTACCAGAGAAAAAAGTATGATCATCTAGTATGGACAGAAGGAAGTACTTTAGCAGACAAAATTCTAAGCAGGGAGATCTCAGCAGTAGTGTTAGTAGAAAAGGATGGAGAAAACCCTGACTTCAAGTAAAAGGGGTAGAGGAAATCTGATCTCTGGGTTTTAATAGAGACATACTATGATCCTGGAAATCTAGCTCGAATATCATCATAATGACACCTGCAGGTTATTTACCAAAAACATGATAAAACACTATTATGATCGCTTCTACCCTAATAGGATGCTTTCCAGTACAGGTTCAGCAGGGTATAGGCCAGAATCTTTTCAAAAGACTATAAATTCAGTCTCCATATAAATTTCAAATACGTTCAAGAAACTCCTGAATTATTTATTTATTGGTGGATTTATTTTTTTTAAAAAAATTGCTTATCAAGGATTTTCTACCCACCTTGTTGTATTTAGTTGACTGTCATATTGAAACATTTTTTCCACTACAGGAGTACACAATAGATGTTTTCTTCCGCCAAAAATGGAAAGATGAAAGGCTAAAATTCAAGGGTCCCATGAACATTCTCCGACTGAATAATTTAATGGCCAGCAAAATTTGGACTCCAGATACGTTCTTTCACAATGGAAAGAAGTCAGTAGCTCACAATATGACTATGCCAAACAAGCTACTACGAATCCAGGATGATGGTACTCTTTTATATACTATGAGGTATGTGCTTTTCTTTTCATTTCCTTTTCTGTTTGTATTTCCTTATTATCTTGTGTATGTCATGTACAGTAAAATTATACTGTATATTGTCATATGAACTAATTTGGTCTAGTGATTAAAGCACCAAGATAGAAACCAGGAGACCGAATTCTAGTCCTGCCTTAAGCATGAAAATTGGCTGGCTGACTAGGTCAGTCATTCTCTGTCACTCAACTCACCTCAAAGGGTTGCTGTTATGTAGAAAATAGGATGAGGAATGAGCATTAGGTATGTTCACCTCTTTGAATTATAGTTTATGTCATGATCCTGTGGTATATTTGTCTCCATTTTTTATCATGTAATTATTTGCTTGCTTTGGTTGAAATGGCAAAAATTAAATTACCTACTAGTTTCCTCCGACCAAGAAATATTTGCCTGGACTATGAATTCTGTATCCATGTGGCATAGACTTCTACTTGTTATTAGTCAAGCTATGGTTCTATAATTTATATGTTAATTCAGTTGATCTTTCCTAATAATTGTGAATAAAATATTTCTAAAGTTTTGACATCATAAAACAGTGTCCATTGAAGGAACTTATAACATAAACCAGCAAACTGCATTGAATTTATATTTAATTTAATATGTGATCTCTATGTTGATTCAATTAATTTTTGAGAAATTGATTTTCATCATCTCTTAGCAGAAGATAACCATAAATTGGCATTTTCCTTTCTAGGCTTACAGTCCAGGCTGAATGTCCAATGCACTTAGAAGATTTTCCTATGGATGCTCATTCGTGCCCATTGAAATTTGGCAGCTGTAAGTAAGATTACTAAAAATTCAGCCCCTATATGATAAATATATTGTATTTTTTCACATAGACATGTAAAGAATAAAAGAGTGATAGGTTCTGAATGAGAACCTATTAAGGTCAGGAATGATTCTTGGGGAATAATAAACATGGAAGAAAAGGAAAAAAAATAAAAGTATACTGTCAAGACTGATCTGCACTTTCACCTATATTCTGCTTCACTCGCAGCTTGACAAAAAAAAGAGAGGAGGTGGATGGAATGCAAGGGTGGGGGGAATTGCATCTGAGCATAGTAGGTTCTTTTGGGACAGTACTCCAACCCAAGGACACATTGCTGGTTCCCATAACAAAATGAACAGAAGTGATTGGTGGACATAATGGACTGTGGGTGGCCCATAGGGAACGAGGGGAATTAACTATGCTAGCTTTTGCATGAGAAATCCAGAACTGGTTTTGCTTTGTCTGTGCCAATATGGTTTATTCAGTAAAGTTTATACTCTTGGTAAAATAATGTCCGAGGAGTTTATTTTTCTGGCTCCTCCAACTGGACAGTTGACATATACAAAATCCTATTTGAAAAATAATTTAATCTTGCATTACAATGAAAGTAAAGTTTACATAAGGAAACACGATTTTAATACTCCTAACAGTAGTGTGAAAAGAATTTGTTATAGTGGCACAAATGTATGTGACATTTCCTAGTGGAAATGCTTGGTGGAATGATGACACGAAAGAGGCTGTGGATGAGAAAAATGCAGGAAGATAATGCTGCAAAAATGAAGATGAGAGGAAGATATTGTAAAATGTATGACGAGTGGAGATCATTCATTAATGTGGTTTTTGTCTTGGGCCAGGTGCATTGTGATCTGGACCTGGATCATCTTATTTGATCAGTCTGCTCCAGGTGACTGATGGACCCAACTGAGTTTCAGAAGGAACTTTTGCTTTCAGAAACTCTAAATCAGGGTTTGATTGAGGCTTTGATCTCAGCTTGGAATGGGAATGTGACAAGGGCTTTGGATCAGATTGCATCTATATGGTCTCTCTCTCTCTCTCTCTAAGAGTACAGAATCAAAGCAGTGGTGAAAAACTAGAACAAGCAGATGAATTTGTATATCTTGGTAAAGTGTTTCCAAAAATAAATGGCCAAGTATAAGAACATTCTTCTGAAAGCATAAAAATGTGATAAGACCAAAACTGGATAAACATAAAGTTGAACGTAGTGGGAATAAGATATTTAAATGTATATGATGAAACAAGAAAAAATAGAGATGACAATTCAATACCAAAGTGAATAACTAGTAAAAAAAGAAACAAATGATGTGGACATACTGAGATGATTAAACTACAAATAACAGCAAAAATCAATATCTGGAAATGAAAGGAAAGGCCAAGAAACACATGGATGGATCAGAAAGAGTGATGAGAATTGTGAACAGCAAAAGAGTGCATGAATTGATTTATAGAACTAGTAGAAAAGAAGGATGATTTGCAAAGATAGAAAGACATGGAGAAATATAATGAACAGTATTTGGTGTATAAACTGCATTTAGTCAAAAGTTTTAGCATACAGGTAGTCCTTGAATTACAGTGATAAATGGGATTGGAATTTCTGTCAGTAAGCAATATGGTCATTAGCTTAAATATCACATGACCTCATCAGCAGCAGGAGGAAAACAGCTGGGTGCAGTAGGGTCTGCAAAGTGCAGGGTAGTGAGGGCTCTGCACAGTGGTGCCACGGTGGCTGACTATAATGTGGAGCTTGAGACAGCATTTGGCGACAATAGTGTGAGATTTAAAAACCCCAAAATTTGATACACACAATACGAAGACAAGTCTGGTTAACAAAACAAAGTTTTATTGGAGAAAAACATAAAAATAATAAAAAGAAAAGTATTTGCAAACATGGCCTCTTAGACCCTTCCCAAGTTGAATTGAGTTCAAAGAGCGCAAAAAGCAGTTTTCAAGCTATTCATTTATATCTTTTACAATGCACGTCATGCCTAAGAAAACCCTCCCAACTCCCCTTCTTCATTGCTTTAGTCTTTCTTTGAAGTTGTTTCACACTTAAAAAGGTCATCCTGACAATTTCCGTCCATTCTCTGTTATCTTATCTGTGTTTATTTGTAATTTTCACCTTGGTTCCTTTCTAAGTGTTTCTCTCTTCCTGGGTCATAATTCATTGTCTTTGTTTTTTTTTTTTTATAAACAAACTTTATTGATTTTTTTTCCCCCCGAGATAAACAATCATACAATTATGGCATAAGTCAATAATACAATTAATAAAAAAAAACAAACTAAAAAAAATACCTCCCATTCTAAGATGCTCAGTAGCCTCACAGGAACACATTCCCTCTCTTCAACCTACTTCCCTCCTTCCTTCTATCTCCTTCCCTCCTCTCCACCTTCTCAACCACTCTGCTCTACACATCCCCCCTCCTTCCCTCCTCCTCTTCCAAATGTGGTCCTGTAGGTCAATCGAGCCTCCATTCTTGTCTANATTCTAAAATGCTCAACAGCCTCACAGGACCACATTCCCTCTCTCCAACCTACTTCCCTCCTCCTTCTTTCTACCTCCTTCCCTCTTCCTCTCCCTCTCAACCACTCTACTCTACACATCCCCCCTCCTTCCCTCCTCCTCTTCCAAATGTGTTCCTGGAGGTCAACCGAGCATCCGTTCTTATCTCACTACCATTCTAATATACCAAAATGCATAAGAAATCCCTTTCCCCACCCCCCCCAGACTTCCCAGAACTGGTTACGGGATTAAACACTCATTTTCCTAAGTGTACATAAAACTACCCAATATAAACTAATCTAATATAAACATACTTTAACTCACTAAAAGAAAAAAAAAATCATATATAAACTACAATAATCTATCTACATATAACCAATCCATCTTCACCAATCCCTTAGTCTTAATAAAAAAAAGAAAAGAAAACTTTGCCTTCTCTTCGATTCTTGGCTTTCAATCACCAATTATATATCACCTTATCAATATATCATAACATTCTATAATAAGCAATAATCCTTCTACCCCTTAATATACAATGCTATAATTTTAACCACTAAAGTTATTTCTTTAAAATTACATCCCAAAGTACCTTATCAATATATCATATCAAAGTTAACATTTTATAATAAACAATAATCCCTCTACCCCTTAATATACAATGCTATAATTTTCCATATATAAGTATTTTTTTTCTCCCAAAAATCCCTTATAATTCCACAACTCCACCATAATAACCATTAAAATTCAAAACACTTTTAAAATTAAATCCCACAATATTAATTAATGCCAGTTAGCATGTAACTAAAGTAACCACTATAATTCAGAACCCTTTTAACCATATAAATATTTCTTTAAAATTACATCCCAAAGTATTAATTAATCACATCAAAAATAGCATCTCTTAACCACTAAAATTCAAAATACCCTTTTAAGTCCACACCTCCATCAGAATATCCCATCTCCTTCTCCAAAGAATTTTTTCTTATTATTTTTTTTTTAAATTAATCTCTTAATATCTCGAGCAGAAATATAAGTGTTTTTTAAAATTACATCCCAAAGTCAGATATATCACCTTATCAATATGTCATATCAAAAGTAACATTTTATAATATATTGATTAATCACATCAAAAATAACATCTCTTCAAAAATCCCTTTTGAATCCACACCTCCACCAAATCTCAT